ATGATTATTCTCATCCAAACACATTGAGATGCACAGTAGGAAGCAGCCACAAACTCGGCCTCTGTAGTTGACAGTGTTACAATTGGCTGCTTCGTTGAGGCCCACGAAACAGCTCCACCTGCAAGGAAAAACACATAGCCACTCGTGAATTTTCTGTCATCAATATCCCCAGCATAACACTGTCTGTGAACCCCATTAGACTGTCTTCTTCATCTACCTTGCTGTACCAGATTCCATAGGATAGAGTCCCTTTCAAATACCTTAGAATTCGTTTTGCAGCAAGCATGTGCTGCCTTGTAGAGGTTTCCATGCATATACTCAGCAAGTAGACTGAGTACATTATATCAGGTCTAGTTGCTGTAACATACAGCAAACTCCCAATAAGTGTTTGAACTCAGTTGAACTTACTTGAATCCCATCTCCAGCTTTAGATAGTTTAGTTCCAGGCACCATAGGATTATAAGTGAAGTTGCATTCTGCCAATTTGAACCTCTGCAGTACTTCTTTGACATACTTTTGCTGTGAGATGAAGGTTCCATACTTGTTTTGATGTACTTCAACACCTAGGAAATACTTAATTTTTCCCAGATCAGTCATTTCAAACTCAGACTTCATGGACTCCTTGAATTCCTCAATCATGACTGAACTGTTGCTGGCATATATAAGGTCATCTACATAAAGACTCACCATCAACACATCAGCTCCAGATTTATTAACAAACAAGGTATGCTCATTGTCACACCTTTGAAAGCCAGTCTGCAAGAAGTAGTTTTCAATTCTACTGTACCAGGCCCTGGGGGCCTGCTTCAAACCATATAAAGCCTTCTGAAGCTTATAGACTTTATGTTCCTCCCCTGCTACCTCAAACCCCTCTGGTTGTTCAATGTAGACATCTTCACTTAACTCCCCATGCAGAAATGCACTTTTCACATCTAGCTGGTACACAGTGAAACCATGGTGAGCAGCCAGTGCTAGAAAAGTTCTAATGGTGTCCCATCTAGCTACTGGTGTAAAGACCTCTGTGTAATCAATCCCATACCTCTGTGCATAGCCTTTTGCCAAAAGCCTTGCCTTGAATTTATCTACAGAACCATCTTCCTTTAGCTTTGTTCTGAAAATCCACTTAACCCCAATTGGATTTACTCCTTTAGGTAAGTCCACCAAGATCCAGGTATGATTCTTCACGATTGACTGCATCTCTTCCTTCATTGCTTGCCTCCATTTTTCATCCATCATTGTCAACCAGTATGTTTCAGCAATGGAGCAATCATAAATGCTCAGATGACCTGGAAGCTTCCTTGTTCTAGGTCCAAGACTACCACTCTAAGGTAGTCCAAGTACATCAGCTGGTGAGTCATCACCCTCTTCTTCAGCTTTTGTAGTGTGTGGTGTTGAAGAGTCAGTCGAGCTTGCAGGAGTCTGAATTTGAGGAGTGGCAGGAGTGGCAGGAGTGGCATCTGCTTATGCTTCAATGCTAGTCATTGTGGTCCTGTGAGGGGACCTGATTCTCCTTCTTCATCTTCCTCCCCAGAATCATACTAGGGATCATCACTTCCATCCCATATCACTTCCAGCCTTCTTCCTCATTGAAAACCACATCCCTGCTGCCCATAATCTCCTTTGTGACTGGATTATACAATATATAGGCTTTTGATTCCTTTGAGATACCAAGAAAGTAACACTCCATGCTCTTATCATCAAGCTTCTTCCTTAAATGATCATGAATATGCACATATGCCACACAACCAAAGATTTTGAAATGTTGTACTGAAGGGGTTTTACCTGTCCATACTTCTTGTGGTGTCTTTCCATTATTGGCTGAAGTGGGACTCCTGTTCAGGACATGAGCTATCCAATCCACTGCCTTGGGCCAGAAGGTAGCATGCACTTTAGTGTCCCCCAGTAAACATCTCACCATATTCATGGCAACCATGTTCTTTCTTTCAGCTATGCCATTTTGTTGAGGAGTGAGGGCAGCTGTAAGCTTCCTTCTAATGCCAGATTCTTCACAAACCTGTATAAACTCATGCCACATGAAATCCCCACCCCTGTCAGTTTTGAGGCAAGTGATGAACTTTCCAGTCTCTTTTTCCAAATCAGCTTTGAATTTCTTAAACCAGGTTAGTACTTCAGACTTTGCCACCAATAAATTAACCCACAACTTCCTACTGTAGTCATCAGTAAGAGTAAGGATGTATTTCTTATATCCATTAGAAGCTGGGGTCATTGGCCCACATATGTCTGCATGAACAAGCTATAGAGGTTGGTCTGCTCTCCAACTACTTTTCTTTGGAAAACTCTGTATATGTTGCTTTCCTATCAGACAGGTGCCACAACCCCCCAGATTGCCAGCCATATCTGGAAGTCCTTGAACCAATTTCTTCTTATGCAACTCCATCAGTCCTTTTTCATGTAAGTGACCAAACCTCCGTGCCATAAGCTCAAATTGGCTTCCTTCTTGGTGCTGGTTTGTAGACACTGCAGCTTAGGAGATTTATCTTTTAGTTCAGCATGAAGCACAAACATTATGTTTGTCTTCAGTAGTAGGCCCTTCCTTTCATGAATGATTTGGCAGACTCCATCTTTAAACTGAAAAGCTAGTAACTTTTCTTGCAGCTGACCTACACTTAGTAGGTTTGATTTCAAGCCAGGAACATAGAAAACATCTTGTATGATCAGTGATACATGATCCATAAGAAATTTGATGCCGCCTCTTCCCAGTACTTACAGCTTGTTTCCATTTCCCAGCTTTACATTGTTTTTTATTGTTGTGTATAGTGTCAGAAACACTGCTTGTTTCCAGTCATGTGATTGTTGCACCCTGAGTCAAGAAACCACCAACCTTCATTCTTTTCCGGCTGCTGCATATCAAGGAATGCCATTGAGCAATCCTCTCCTGTCACTTTTGCTTCCTTTTCCGCATCAGTTTCTTCCTCAGTGTAAGCCATCAACAAGACATATTCATGTATATATGGATGAGAGTTTTGTCCAGGACCAGAGCTTGTCCAGTTTTCCTGTTGATTATACCATTCAGGACACTCATACTGATAGTCTCCCCTCTTGTGACACTTGAAACACTCCACCATATCACAATTCCAGCTTCTGCCTCCTCTTCCCTGAAACTCTACCTCGACCTCTACCTTCTCTTCCACCAAAGTCATAAGTGATTTTCAGAGCTTGATCTTGTTCTGTGAAGTGCCTTGTAAACTTCTGTTCATGAACTAACATAGAGCTTTGCAGGGCATTCACAAACAAGGTCTCTATATCTTTAGATTCTTCGATTGAGCAGACAATATAATTGAACTTCTCAGTGAGAGTTCTTAGGATTTTTTCAACTATTTTCTCATTTGTCATTTGTTCTCCACAGTTCCTCGTAGCATTGGCAATCACCATAACTCTACCAAATAATCATTAATTGATTCATCTTCTTTCATTTCCAGTACCTCAAAACTCCTCATGGGTGCTTGCAGTTGTGATTTTTGCACTCTACCACTTCCTTGGCACTTGGTTTTCATTGATAACCACAGATCCCTGATTGTTGCCTTGTTGGTGATTGTCTTCAGGATACTCTTGTCGATTGAGCTGAATAGGTAGTTCTTTGCCTTCAAGTCCTTCAGGCGATTCTCTTCCAAGGTTTTGAGTTGAGCAGGGGATAGCTCATCTCCAGCTACAGGTTCCTTGAATCCTTCACTCACCACTGTCCAATATTATTTTGACTTCAACAAATTTTCCATCAGCAGACTCCAATGCTCATAGTCCCCATTAAATTTTGGGATGCAAACTTGAGCAAAACTGTTGTTTTCACTCATGATTGCACTCACAAATTCCAAACACGACTCCTCACAGATTCTCTCGTGTTTCCCAACCCAGATGTGTTTCACTCGTCTTCTTTTGCTCACACTTGCACTAAAAAATTCTTGTTGCTCTTGGTTACAATTTGCAAGTTGCTCTGATACCACAATGTGGAGTCAAAAGTGGAACAAACTCACAGAGGTTTTATTCCACACGATGAACAACCTTATAGATAGGACTCTAGGCCATCAATCTCGGCCAGTACTCCTAAACAACTAGACCTTAATCCAAGGCCTCAAATTCCACTATCCTGAAAACTAGGATTCATGACTAACTGAAAAACGACAGGACTCAAATGTAACTAAACAGACTTCTAAAGGACTAAAACTAAACATGCCAAAACGGCTCACTTTATTCAAACTTGAACTTGACTCTGTTTGGCGCCACAGATCTCCCGCCATGTTTGATCTTCATCTCCAACATGGGTGTCACGAAAAGCTCTTTTGTTGTGTCCAATTTTTATTTTTGAATATTTTCATCCATATAATCCTTCTACATCTGGTTATTTTTCTCGATGATAGAAGCAACCTTTTGGGGAAAAAACCCATAAATCTTATATAATTTCATAATTAACTATAGTAGACAGCATTGAGATCTCAGTATCTTACACTAAATGAACACGTCCAAAGAGAAAGGAATACATGCTTCAGATTCTCAATTAACTTGGAGATCACCATTGATATGTTTATGTATAAGTGCAATGTGACGATGTGAGCTGCTAGAAAATTATGGCGAAAGATTCCCCTGACTCACTGACTGACAGCTGCTTCTTCAAACTGTACTGTGAAGGTAGCTGAGTGCTTCCAGACAAAGTCCCTGAAGCTAAGGGACACCAGATCCAAGCCACTGGATTTCCCCCTAATATGCTAACAAAAACAAAGCCACGAGGTGGCATGATGAACTGGAAGGGAAATAATAATTATATAAACCCTTGTTCTTGACATATTAAATACGAATTGATATGTGGAACTTATCAAATTATAATGTCATTTGTTCTACTTCTATCTCATATGTCACTAGTAATATAGTTAAATCAAGATGGATCTTCTCTTTATACTTGAGTTTTCCGTCCTAGCTCGATCATTTTTTCATACATATATATATATATATATGAAAAGGGAAAAACTACTTTCTGAACATCTCATTGACGTAATAGTTTCAATTTATTAACATGTTCATCAATGATCGGAACCATAGAGGAACTTGAGAAAGCTACCAAAGATGTTAACAAAACATCGGCCGTAAATTGTATTCCTAGGTCAACTGGAAACAAATATCGAGAAATAAAAAAGGAAGAAAGATGCCCTAACATCAAGTGGTGAAAAAAGGGAGATGATACGTACCAAAAGTATGTGAAGAAATAAAGAGGCAAATATATATTCATCATATAGTATTATGAACTCCAGAAAGATATCCAAATTTCTCATCACTTTTTGCCAATCTCCATCCATTCATTACTAAATACATGACGATTGATGATTTACACTTTGGCCTCAAAGGCTGAGAAACCATCACACCCTTAGCTGCATAAACTTACAAGTTACAAGATCTGCACAAACCCCTTGCCATACATATTTAGTACACCATTAATCAACTCTTCCTCACCCCTTTTTTCCACCACAAAACGCCACCACCATATGATCTTCTCACATCGTTAAATTCGTCTCCTTATCGCAAAACCCTATGAGAAAAATTTCGAGAGAAAAGCAAAATACAGAACAGGGCATCACATGGTTGGTTTACCATCGAATTGAGGAGTTTAGCTTTCTTCCTTCACACCATGCATAAATTTCTCTTTTTTTTCTTTGAGCTTGCAATCTCGTTCTCGCTCGCTCTCTCACGATTTGATTGATTCGATCCTCGAAACAAGAACGATCGATCAAGTAAAGGTTTTATGTTATATACTCGACCGATCAGGGGTAGATGATGAGATTGAAAGCTTGCTAGCTAAGATGTAGAAGTGGGAACTGGCGACGAAGTGGGATGATGACCGCCTCCAATCGTAATAATATCGTCTCTGTTCATACCGGAGGAATTAGTAACCGCGGATAGTTTACTCCGCTGTTGATACTTCTCCTTCCTCGCATCCTTCTTCATCTGCTCCTCTCTACACTCTAGACTACAAAATCCTGTATCCCCCCTGCACCACAAAAAAAAAAAAAACGAAAAATTAGACCAAATCCCGCTTACGACATATAAGAGATTCGAACCTGAAACCTCTAAACCGAAGAAAGAAAGAAAAAAAAAAGTTACCTACCTGTACATGTAAATATCGTTGGAGGGAGCGAGGCGGCGCTGGCAGAGACCACATGTCCTCAAGAAATGAGCCGTGGACTCCAACGACACGCTTCTCAAGTGGTGGTGGTGGTGGGGATTGTTATGATGGTTCATCAAACTATTCCTTGGCGACACCATGCTCGCCAAGTAATGGTTGTCCACCGTCAGGTCAATCGTTTTATTATTGATGTTGTGAGAGCCCCCGTTCGTCAATGAATCTGACGGCGGCGGAGGGTCGAGAACGTCGATGGTGATGCCGGTCATGCTGGTGGTTCTCCTCATCGCCATGGCTGGCCGTGGCCGCTTTCCCAGCTGCATCATCTTTTTTTGGGAGCTTTTCTTCTCTTTTGTTATATAGTTGTGGAGAAGTTGGGAGGAGGAGGAGGAGAGATGGAGGAGTGTGGGAGCTGTGGAGAGGAGAATGATAATAAAAGTGGTGATGGCAGCTGGATGTATGGAGAGAGAAGCAAAAGCATAAGAAAAAAGAAAAGAAAAAAAAGGCTAAAAGAAATAAAGGGAAATGATTAATTAATTAATTAATTAATAAAATAAATAAAGGGGACATGAGAGCGAATCTTGGCCGTTGCTTGCGGCCACGGGGTCTTTTAATGCCCACGTCACCCCCACTCTTTTCGTCTTCTCTCTCTGTCTCTCATTTTCAAGTTCCTTCTCCTCTTTGCCAAATGCCAATTACCAATTGGTTGGGATTTTTTTATTTTTTTTAAAAAGGAAAAGAAAAAGGCAGGTTAATAGAGTGGTCATGGACTCATGGTAAAGTAACTCCAGTTTGGTTCTAGCATCGGTAGAGGGTAATTAGTAAGGACGGTAAAAGTAAAACTGGGTGTATAGGAAAAAGTTAGTGGTAGGATATTTTATGCTGAAATTGTGTTTCAATCGTGTTATGTCGCTGAAAAATTGACAATCAATTTAGATTATGGTAAAAAGGCTTTTCGGATCGTATAACTCACACGGTACAAAGACGGGAAAATTAGAGTAAGAGAATGGATAAAAATTAAAGGAATGGTGCAGAGTAGAACTCAGAACGGTGATGGAAAGATATAAGATTTGTTTTTATTAATTTTTTTCGTAATTCGAATAATTAGAAACAATTAATTCTTGATATGATTGTAGATTTTTTGTGTTGGAATTTTTATGAATTTCAATAGTAACAATTGATTAAACCACAAGGTATTGCAAATCTGTGTGAACTCGTAACTTCATGGTTTGTTTTTTTTTTTTCGTTTTAGTTAAACCATATTTTCTGTTGTTGCTTTGAAATTCATTACTACGATTGTCCAAAACTAAAATTTGGTTCTGCAGTTAACCAAGGATTTGAAGGGAGCACTAGAGTGTTGGGTAAGTTAAGAAAGGGAACTAATTTGTGCTTAATTATTTGGGTTTCTTGAGAAAGCTACTTAAGCCTTTAATTATTAAGGCTACCGGGAAACGGGAGCAGTTTTGACATTGACGTGAGATGTTGTCACTTTCGGCCATGAAAACAAGGTGTATGGGTAGGTTGATCGATTGGATGAACCGTCCATCTTTCTGGTCAGGAAAAATAAAATATCAAAAGTTTTTTCTGTTTTTCCTAACAAGATGAAAACACTCTTTTTCTATGTGCTTGTTTCCTCTTTTCTCAAAACATTTCCAAGAAATTAATTAAATAAAAAATCAACCTCACAAAAGAATTTCATTTTACCGACTTAACCGTTTGAGAAAAAAAAAATTATTCCTTAGTAGTGAGTTTCAAGTTTCCAATCACTACTTCACTATTAAACAAACTAATCAACTTATCGAAGTAGAGCTGTTTTGAGTGGAAATTGCTCTCTTGTAAATCTTCCTTCCATCATCTTCTCTCAATAATTTATATGTAAGAAGTCTATTGAACTATCAATTTTACTTCATCTTTTTGAATCGTCTTCAACTTATATTTACTTTCCACATTTAGTTACTTAAAACTGGTAATCTGCAGTATTTATTTTCGTTAAAATTGATCATCTCCAGTTCAACTAGTCATCTCTAAAATTTATTTCCTGCACAACTGGCTGGTCAACTCTAGTATTTATCTTCTGCATAACTGCCTAACTGGTCATTTTCAATATTTACATATACATTTTTGTAAAAAAATTCTTTAGGATACAAATCACATTTTTACTTATACGTTATGGTATTAACTAAACTTATACCATAACATAAAGGTACAAACTGAATATGTACCTTTAGATTATGGTACGAACTGCCCTTGTATCATAACATAAATGTACAAATTCCTTAATGACACAAATTGAACTTGTGCCTTTAACGTTATGATACTGGTTCAATTTGTATATTGAAGCACCTACACTTTAGAGTATAATATAGAATGTCTCTTAGACTATCGAGTCCTCAAAATGACATAATTTTTTTTGGTACGCCATGATAATGGGTGGATGATTAAGAAAGTAAGTTCCAATGGTATATAAATTCCTGGCAGACTGTGATGATCAATACAGTCAAAGTCGCTATTCTATTTAGAAGCGTTTCGGTAACCCAGAAGCATAAAAATGTAAGCTTTTAAACTGTTAAGAATAGATTTTGACTATAATTGTAACTGAAAAGCGCAATTCTACGTAGAAACATTTTATGACCATTATTAATGTATATATGATCTACATGACATGTGCATAAATTTGTCTAATGATCAAAATACACAACCTTTTGTTCCTACTAATAACCCCAAGTCTTAATTAAGTAGATCTAAAACAATGGTAGACCACCTGGCCACACAACCCTACTCATAGTGATTTGGATCTAACACCTCGAATCGAATGCATCATTATTATGTATTCCAAAAGTGAAGAAAAACGATGCAAAGAATGAGAGTGAGTGAGGAGAGGTGTGTAATAATAGATGTTTCCTACCATACCAACCTAGAAGTTAAAAAAATAAAAGGCAAGACAGCATTAGACAAGGCAAGCAATAATGGGTTCATAAAAGACCAATTTTAGACCCACTACCCAAAGTTTCCCCCCTTCAAAAATAATGTGGCATTGCATAATCATGCACTAGTATGACTATAGCATATGGGGTGGATGCACTCATCAGCCACATCATTGGGAGCCTTGAAAAAAAAAACTCCATTATTATTAGTCGTTTTCTCTCTACTTCTCAATTGGACCTTCTCTCTCTTTTGTAGATGCTCCAAAGAGTATCTCACAGCTCATGCTCTAGTAATATCTTTGCCAACTTCACGATGTGAGACATATGGAGGCTTTAATTGGTTTTGATGGAGCTACATCAATGAGTATATGGTCCTCTTGATTTAACAACATGAGCGATAGGGATGTGGTGATTAGAAATTACCAACACTAGCTTATCATTAATTCATTATACAACTCCTAAAATTGCAAAACAAAATTTGAACAATCTACCTCACGTGCCGAATCCACGATATAAAAATGCAAACCTTGATGGTGTTTCGTGTCTGCATGATTTTATTCATATTGAGACGATCCACAATATGTCTCGTTCTTCTAATCTTTCACGGGAGTTGGAAGACTATTTAATATTTATAGATATTATCTTGACACCAAGGAATACTCAGAGCCAAAGCTTTATTTCCCTCCTAATTGATCATGACTCTGAATTAAAAGTATATTGATTTCCTCTCAATAATCAAATGCTTATGTCTGTAGATAGTGCATATCTAATTTTCTTCTTTTATAATCTCAATTAGAATGTCAGTTCATATGTTATTATATGAATTATGAGATTTCATTGATACAGGGCCCTCCAATAGTCTTACTGGAGAGCCCCATTGGCGGTCATCTAGTGGAAATTGAACCTATGGATTTTCCCATTATTAGTTGGGCGCTTTCATCAATAGCTATCGATGCTTAGCAGGGATCCTTGTATGTGTTGAATAATAACCAGATTCCAATTAAAATGAAATCCTTATGATAAATCAATACAATTTAAGAGGAATCCATAAAAAACACTTAAAATCATATACAAAGCACCTTTTATAGGGGCATCGGACTATCGGTTATAAATGAGCAATATAAGATTTATATTTGGACATTTTCTAACACTTCAAGTTATTGAGCCCAACAGATTCTCGACACAATATAAAAATCTTTAACGGAGAGTTCGAATAGTCTAATCCCTACAACACTCAATATCAATGGTTGGTTAAAACCCCAAGTGTAACATATATAGTTATCTAAGATCCATACTTCGACATCTTTTAATAACTCAAGCAATTGACACCAACTAATTTTCAACATCCAGTGCTTTTAACTTAAACCGTTACCCACCTGAGTGGGGAATAATTAAGTGTCATAGTAGTTAGGGCGGATGACACATGATCAAAAGGCAAAGAGATTTCATTTCTCCCTAATAAAAATCTGAACCACACTAACTTAATACTTAATAGCATACATGATATTGCACAATTGGCAAGTAGGCTGCCTTATTTTTTGGGGCGATGGATGCAAGTTGTTGATTACATTGTTTTTTTCTCAATACCCAGCGGGACAGCTGCCAATCAAGTTTCCTCGATTGCACACTGCTTTAACCAGTAATCTGTGTTCCACAAAATCGAGCACACCACGTGCTAGCCTGCAGCGGCGGATCTAGGGGGCCGCCCGGGCCACAGCGCAGCCCTCCCCGGATCCAAAGCTCATATAGTATTTGTAAATTTTCGATTTTGGGTATATATTTCAATGTTTATAGTGTTACGGCCCAGCTCTTTTCATCGCTTTTTAAATGCGGCCCAGTGCTCTAATCTGTTCTGGATCCGCCGCTGCTAGCCTGTGATCATGCATATAAATTATAAAGCAGGTTTTGTAGAGGGAGATGATCATTATAGTTAATTAGATAGCCGAAATAAATAAAACAAGATAAACAAAAGCTGTCCATGCGTTGCCCACCATTATTAAGTAAACTGGATTAATAATTACTTATAATTTATCGTCCTTGCAAATTGGCAGTAAATAATGTTAGAAAAATATGCGCAAGTGCTCGTAAATTTAGTGAATCTTGCACTTTTAGTGTCACGTCATCAAACATTATGATCAAATTTGCTTCAACTTGATTATCTTTAGGTCATAATTTTGGCGTTTAGCAAAACATAGACGATGGAGTAAGAAACTGAAAGCGGAACTGGTTTGCTTTAGCAGCTCGAGTTAAATAATTAAACTTATAGAAAAGGAACGGCTTGGTAAGAAAATAAAACTGAGACGAGCTATCGTAGCAATTCAACAATTTTAGGGCTCATATATATTTTAGTAATTCTAATAATTAGTTTGTATTCTTTCATTAATATGAGATACTCATATTAATTATTTTTAATAGCTATTTTAGTATGATTTGGATTGTCTAAAAGTGTTCGTTTAAAATTTGAGTATTGTATTCTTGTGGAATAATTTTCATGTTTTGGGTAGTAAAAAGAAGAGAGGGTTGTCGGCATATAGAGAAAAGGATTGCGATTTTGGGTTTCTTTCGGTGCCTATAAATATGTACGCATTGTCTAATTTAATGTCATTCAAGATGAAAACCTAAATATTTGTTATTGTCTTGATAGACAAAACGAAATAAAAAAGGTCTCCTAGAAATCAGTAGGTACTTATTCTAGGACGAGAACTGGCCAGTAGTTTGGAAACCTCGTTAAACCCTCTCACATTCCAAAAAAGTGTGATCATTGTAAGAAGAGGTTTTCATTAATGCCTTCCTACCCTTCCTATCTTTACCAGAAAATGATATTCGGCTTTAATATATCGGATTCTTGGACTTTATGTGATTATCCGTGGTATGTTTTAGCTAATTGGTGCTATTTTAGGGCTCGCTAACTCGAGAATGGTTGAAAAACCATTACTGCCTAGTGCCATGAGTTTGATGTATTACAGGTGAAGAAAACACGAAAAAGAAGTTGCACCGGCGAACAATTCTCGAATGCTGGGCTTAAAGCCCAGCTGGATGGGGATTAATGACATGGGCTTGGGCCTGGGCCTGGGCAGACAGAGACTTGGAGTGGGCGGACAGAATTATTTGGTGGGGGGTGGAATACTTGGATTGGGACAGGGAAGTCTTGGAATGGAACATCTCTGGAGAGAAAAACGAAATTGCTTTGGGCCGGGGACACACAATTACGAGGGGAGCTGGGGGGCAATTGATAAACGTGAAGGCGGCAACTATTTGCCAGGAGGAGGCAACTTAATTTCTGGGGGGAGACGCAATTAATTGGGGAGGAATTTCTCTAGCGGACGGAAGCTTTTGGGAAAGGGAGCAGCGATTGGAGAGAAAATCAGAATCTGTGATTTATTTCGTATCAGTATTTTCTCTTCTTCCCGTTACTAGTTTTATGATGATTAAGAACATGATTATATCTTTTGATTTCGTCATGAACTAAACCCCGATTTCTGGGGGAAACACCATAGAATGTAGCTATTTCTTGATTTGATGGATTGATTCATGATTCTTTTCCTCCAATCTCTATTGCATGAAATTACTTAATGCTTTGTGTTGACTAGCCACCAATACAACGATTTGTAGTTAATTAGGTTATTAGCGACAGTGAAACCCTAATAACTGAACCTATTTCATGTGACATAGTAACTTATCGAAGCGACAGTGGATTAAATAAGGTGCTATGCGGTCTTAAATAGGATATCGATCTTCAGGCTAAATAATTAGGTCATTGAGCTACGACAGTAGGATTTGATTTAATTGTTTAGTACGTAATAATTCCCGACAGGGATAGCTAGCACATTCGTGATATCCTGGCTGAGAGATATGGATTAAATTGATTGGAGTATGTGAATTAATCTGGATAGGATAGGTAGTGAATCCCAGTGTTTCTCCCAGAGCTTTCTCCCATTGATTTTCTCACGAACATTTTACTTTGCTTAATTAGTTTAATTATTTTGCTAGTAGTTAATAATCCCATTAAACCATTTTCACCTATAGTTCGCTCTACAAAATTGATTGAACTTAAGGTTGTACCAGTCCCTGAGAGACGATATCCTGACTTTCCGGTTTACTACGAGATAGGATTAGAAAACTTCTCCTTTTCTTTCTCACAGAGTTTCCCAAGAACATTAAAAGAGCTCTGACTAACCCCATGTCTCAATTGATCTTGTTTTTTCCATATTCTTGGCTTCACTACATTGATATAAATGTTTTGCAAAAAGGTTCTCCATTTGTGAATGAATGTGCTTTAAATATTTTAATGAGTGTATCACGTGTTGTGGAAACTGCAAAGTGCTTAGTAAATCAGTTCAAGTGTTTATCTAAAATCACTTTGCGCTTTGAGGATATATAAAGGAGACCAGGATATTGCTTCCGAACCTTCACCTACTACTCTCCAGCCTCCTTTAAACCTCTCCTCCTGGCAAGACTTGATAAAGAAGAGACGAGTTCTTCTGCTCAAGTTTAAAGACCACAGATTTTAAGATCTCACATGTTGTCGCAACCTATCATTACCTTAGGTCGGTCGCCTTAGATTGACCATAAGGACGAGAGTGTGCTTTGGGAAATCTTATGTCAATTAAGTTAGGATCATCTTGCATCCAAACCTTCGCCTATTACCTTCCATCCTTACTTTACACCTCTTTCCCACCAAACAAGTCATCGGTTTTCAAACGTTTTTAGAGTCCCTTCATCCACAAGTCACTTGTCTTAGCTTCACTAGTCGACAACATCCTAACTTGAGATTGTGCTTCTCATCAAAGTGGTTTGGAGATTTCGTGTCTCTGGCTGGCCTCGTAAGTTGCCAATTGACGCACTACACATGATCTAGATTGCATGCCATTTTGTGAGTACAGTAAGTTGCCCCGACTTGAGATAGGTTTGCTTAGGGGCAAGCAAACTGTTAAGTATGGGGGAGTTTGATTCGGACTTAATTATACATGTTTATACCCTCTATCATTGATGGCTTGATATTTTTAGTTCTTTAGCTCATTTCATGCTAGGTTGATTTCTAGCTTTGTGCGAAACTAACATTATGCTTTAATTCGAGCGAAAAGTAGTGTCTGCAGCGGTAGTTGCGGAAGCCGGGATAGCTCGGCCAGGGACTACACTTCCACCGGGAATTTTCAGAAGCCTCCTCAGGTTGAGATTGATCGTAGGTGTCGAGATGGGCGGTGTTTTGGGAGTAATGAGAAGTTTACGTTTGGCCACATCTAGGCACACTGAGTGTTTTGGTTTGTTCTTCCTTAATTTTTTCCCGCTCTTCTCTAATTCAATCCTTCTATATCTCTATTCTTTCCATCTGTGTGTTTGTGATTTATCTCATTCGTTGACATCGAGACGCGTTTGTTTGACGGATAGAGGAAGATCTACTTTTGTTTGGCATATCAATTGAGTTATGCATTTGGTAAATCTTTGTGTTGGAGAGCCTGTCAGTACAAGGTGTCCAACGGATCAAGATAGTCGTTGAGGAGAGGACACAAAGTTTGTAATACTTGTTTTGAGAGGAGGATTGTTATGGTGCAATTCAAGTACCACATCGACAATACAAGAGAATGACCTTTGTATATAAGTGTTCACCAATCTCATTACTACAAGATTTTTGTTTTTGAAGAGAATAGCCAAAAATAAGTCTGTGCAAGCAGTGACATTTAAAGTGTTAGAGAGTGGTATAAGATCCAGCATAACCTTCTCCCAACAACTCGAGTTATTGGGATCAATTGGTTATTGACATGGTATCAGAGCCTTCTGTGACCGAGAGGTCTTGTGTTCGATTCCCGGTGACCCCATTTGTTAAGCACATGATATTCTTGTCTTTAGACCTGTGCAAACTTCAAGCCCTTATGAGTGGCGAGTTGTTGGGATCAACTGGTTCTTGACATGGTATCAAAGCCTAGAACCGAAAGGTCATGTGTTCGAATCTCCACGACCTCCAATATTAACCGTTGTCTTTCAAGCACATTCAGTGGCGGACCCAGAAATTTTTTATAGGGGTGTCCTCTTTTAAAAAATAAATTAAATAAAAATAAATAATTAATAAAAATAAAATTGTAAATATGAAAATACTTTACTCGTACAGGTTAAAAAAGTCCATGATGTGTTTTCTTATTCGGAACTAATTGTAGAATACACTTGGTGTCTATAGTGTTTAAAAAAATTGTCTCTATATACACTACTAGACAATCATTCACAAACTTATCGCATATTCTATTTGTAAACTTGTTCTTGATGTAACCCAAAGCTGAAAGACTCTTTCAACACTTGTCGTACAATCATAAAATCAATACAAATTAAGGGTAGTTTGAAATTAGTTTAATTGTTAGGTTCTTAAAATAATTAGAGATAGGGAATACCATTTTACTATTACACATTGTTCAAAATCGAACAACAAATGAGTTTAGCTCAACGGAAATTGAGCTTATTAATAATAATAGTGTTATAGATTTAAATTATCCAACCTACCACTTATATTCCTATACACAAATGACAGTAGGATAATCATTTTTTCAAATTTAAGGGGTGTCTCTCACTATCAATTATATTTTTTTTATCCATACGTAAATTACCATCGAGGGTTGGATAATCGTTTTCCCAAAATTTAGGGGTGTCCGGGGACACCCCTAAACCTCCCTGGGTCCGCCCCTGAGCACATTGTATGATGGGCCTGTGCAAACTTCAAGCTCATGAGTTGGCTTTCGTTTGAGGGGGCGTATTAGAGAGTGGTATAAAATCCAGCATAAACTTCTCCCAACAACTCGAGTTATTGAGATCAACTGGTTCTTGACATAAAACACACCGCGCGGTGCCACAAAAGTTCAGAGACGAGGCAGCAGAGCCATCCACGGGGAGACGCAGTCCCATACGTTAAAAGAAAGCGTGGACATCAACAGAGTAACAGCAGGGAAAAACACGAGCCCAATCGAAACCACCAGAAGCAACAACTGGGCCAGCCGCCTCAAGCCCAACTTGAAACGTCTATACAGAATCCCCCACGACCTCGTGTTCACATTATCGCTATAAATAATAGCACCGGTTCACGGCCTGGATCTGCGAATCTAGCTGCTGATGTTGCTGCCTACTACTCAGGTTGCCAATCACCACCGTCGTTATATTCTCGCCGAACAGTTTCCCGACGTCGGCGGGATTATCCCCGGCGATCACGCCGGCTTGTCTAAGCAACTCGACCTTCTTCGCGCTCCCGGCGGCTGTCAGGTCGTGCATTAGCTGCAAGTATGTTGTCAGAATCCGGGGATTATCGTGGACCGCGGCCATGGATTCGTAAGCGACGAGGTTTCTCATGAGTGCTTGGCAGTTGGGTGTCCAGGTGAAGGCGGGGAGGCGGAGGATTCGTTCGCCTTCGTCGAAGCTTATCATGGTGGTGGCGCTGGCGCCTAAACTAGTGCAAATGATTTTGATGCGGGCTCCTTGAATGAGCTCCGAGGCTGTGGGGATCAAAGGCTCTCGTCGGGCGATTTGGTCCACGTAGTTGATCAAGCCCAGCTTCTCCATGAATGTTAGCACGGATCCAATCAGCGAACGGCTGCAATATGTATGTAGACAAATTTTACAATGCTATATAGTATTGGTGTTATAGGTTTTTGTCTTTATGATACAATTTAAAATTGTACATTTACGTTATGGTACAACTTCAGATTGTACCTATACTTTTAATACAAATTCTTTTATGGTACAAGTTGAACTTGGACAACTGAATAATTAGCGAGCTAGCCAAATTGACTTCCTTGTACACATGAGTCATTTGAAGTACCAACCACACTGTTCCTAAAGCAGTTCCGGCTTGTAACCTAGCTCATTGGTTACTGGTTACTCGTCAGTCATAACTTCTACACCAATTATTAGGAATTCAAAAAAAAAATTATAGAAAGATCAGATCGAACGTGATATTCAAAATGACATCCACAGAAATTACCCTTGATAGTAACGAAGTATACTATAGTGGTATGAATATATCATAGTATAAAATGGTTGCGTACGTAATAGTTTCAATATACTAACCATCATCATTTTATCATCTTTCTTTCACACATCATCTACCATCAATTACCATGATAGTATATTTTATCCTGAAATTTATTTTTTTATAAATTCGTAAAACATAATAGGTCAAGATGAAACTTTTGAGTTCTAAATGAAGGTCATATATAGCAGTACAAAATAATATCCGGGTGGTAACACATGATAACAAATGGTACGAAAAAAAGTATTTTTCAAAATATATTTAAAAAATGTATATTATTTATAGACAATACAATAAACTTAAATGAAATGGAACTCGTATCAATTGGTTATTTCCCTTTTTATGAATGAATTACTCTGATATTTTAAAATGTTTAATTTGTATATCTATGTCAAATGAAAAAAACAACCTAATCCAATCTTTCGGCGTGCTCACTATATAGGATGTCAAATACTCAAACTCGCTACAGATGCATTTATGTTTTTATTAAAAGTGTAATTTTTAATTTTGGTATTAAATATATCTACATACCTGATGTTTGACTGGCTTTCTTGAGGGTACGAGCGACTTCAAGGACAGGGTTTTGACTTCCCAAATGTCTCATCAACAATCCCGCGGGTAGGGCTGGCAGAACGGTTTTCGGCTAACCGAAAAACCGAATATAAAGGAAACGGTCGGTTGGCGGTGGGGAAGGGTAGGGGGTCGGTTAGCCGACTAACAGGGGTCGGAAACCGGCGGTTAACCGGCTAACCGACCCCCTTCCCTTTCCCCAAAAAACGACGTCGTTTCCGCCCACTAACCCTAAGCAGCCGACCCTCCTCTCCCAATTCCCAAATCAATCGACCTCCCCCCCTCCTCCTATCGCAATCTCGCGCAACCCTTCCCCTTCCCCCTTCTCGCAATCTCGCCTTACAGAGACCACCATCGTCGACGTTCCACCGACCTGCCTCCACCTCGACGCCCCGCCGCCTCCACCTCGAATCCCTAAATCTTCTTCTTCTCCCATCAACCATGTCCAATCCACAGACACCACCACCACTCCACCAGCACCAGCCGCCGCCCTCCCCTGCCTCCTCCGCTCCCCCTCCTTCCACCGCCACCACAACTTCCTCCACGGCCATCGTTCCTAGTTCCGCCGGCGCGCTCGCGGTGAAGAATCTGCCTTCGAAGGACAAGCACCGGGAAGACTCCGGCGAGCTTCTCCACCGTCTACGCCTCCGACGACCTCCTCCTCCCCGACGCCGCGCCTCGCCGCCCATCACCGCGACCCATGTAGATCTGTTTCCATGGAGAAAGAAGGTGAGAGAAGAAGAAGGAAGGAGAGAGAATAGGTCTGGTGGAGGAAGGAAGGAGAGAGGAGGAGACAAGGAAGGTGTTGGGCCCATAGTTAAGCGGTATTGGGCCTAAGAGGCATGCGCCAGGCCCACGAGGAGACAGAGAAGATAATCCCAAGGAAGGGTCCGAGTCAATGAACGAGACCCGAGGAGGCATAGGGAAAGGAGACACCACAGGCGGCCGACCTATGACGTGACGGGAAGTAGGCCGCCCGACACAGGAGACCGTTGGTGTCAGGAAAAGCAGATCTTCCTAGGATACTTACCTCGTACACAGCAGGACTGAGCATTTAATGCCCGCCGCAGGCGGTCCAAGTAAAGTCGAGCATGTCTAGGCCGCCTGACAAGGCATTTAATGCCTCATACCTAAGCTGGCTGACTATAAATACACCGGTATCGGCATTAATGGTAACTCAACTACTCTCTATCTATCTAAACCCAAATAGCACTTCTTATTCTCTCTCTAACTTAAGCATTGGAGGGTGTCCGGGGAACCGCCCACGGACCCTTGTTTTGCAGGAGTTGGAGTGCACCCTTCATCTGGAACAGACGCCTTGCTTGCTCTGCACACAATCGCCTGGAACAATCTAGGCTTAAACAATTTGGCGCCCACCGTGGGGCAAGAGAGGCGCTGAAGAAAGGATGTACGGGAGCTCCAATACTCCTGTTAAAGACATTGTCAGGGGAGATGGCTTCCGCAGCCAAGAGATCGCGTCAGGCGGCTTCCGCGGGTTAGAAATGCCCGTGGTGGAGGAAGAGATGAAGATGGAGGACCTCGTAAAAAGTCAAGGACAGTAGATATCAAGCATGCAAGAGAGTTTGAGCCAAATCCTGGCCATGCTCAAAGAAAAGGAAGGCGAGGCCCCAGAAAGCTCAGGGAAGCGAACAGCCAAAGGAAAAGGAAGAGACAAGGACCCCGACAGCCCCACTTCGACAGAAGGCGGGGAGTCGGACAAGGAAGAAGGAGCGGAAGATGACAGCCTTGGATTCCTGGAGGAGCATCTTAAGCCCACATACGGGGGCGAAAAGACCCACAACATCCTACAAAACCCTCTAGCCAAAAGTCTGTTTAGAACCCAAGTACCAGCGAACTTCTCATCACTCGGGCTGCCAACTTACAGCGGAAGCTCTGATCCCGCCGACCACCTGAGCGCCTTCATACTGAAAATGCAGCTCATCAACGCCACAGACGCCGATCTGTGCAAGGCGTTCCTGGTCACGTTTGGTGGGCACTGTCGAACTTGGTACACCTCCCTTCCCGAGGGAATAATCGAAAACTTCGAACAGTTCGCCACCCTCTTTTCCTCCAAGTTTGCATCCCAGCGAAGAAGGAAGCTAACCGTCTCTGCCCTGATCAACTGCAAACAAGGCGGAGAGGAGACACGGACCCACTTCTATGATCGGTGGAACGCTATAGCGTGTGAAGTACAGGGGATATCACCAAGTGTAGCAGCGGGGAACCTACGCATGTCAACACACAGCTGTGAACTGCGAAGAGCGCTCATCAAGAAGGAGCATGCACTGAAGGAATGGCCTGATCTGGACAGCCTAGTGAGAAAGGCGATCCTGTTGGAAGAAGCCATGATAGTGGAGGACGCCGCTAAGCGTGTCAGCGCAAAGGAAAGACCAGAGAAGAAAAAAGGAGAATCGCCCAAAGGAAGAGGGCGGTCCCCGGAAAACCGCAACTATAAGCCACGGTTTTCCCACCGTAACAATCGAAGGGAAGTTTACACCGCCAGTAAAGAAGAAGGGAGAGAAAGGAGAGGAGACAACAGCAATGCGCACCAGACGCATAGGAGAGAAGAGGATCGAAAATGGTGCGACTGGCACCAGACTCCCACCCACGACACCGCAGAGTGTCGGGAGTTCAGGGACAGTCTGAAATACTTGGCACCTGGAGACCTCAGAAGCCGCCTAGATACACGTCCCCACCGTCAAGAAGAAAGGCACCGCAGAGAGAGGTCACCGAGTCCGAAAAGAAGGTCGCATACGCCAAGGCGCAGGAGGTCAAGATCGTCGAGGAGAGAAAGATCGCCAAGGAGAGAGAGATCCCCACGGCGCGACCGCCTACCACCACCACCTCGGAGATCACCTCAGCGTCAGCCGCGGCTGAATGAGGATGACGTGGAAGTCATAACCATCGCAGGCGGTCGGAAACGACCCCAAAATGAAGGAGACCGCCTAGTCCAATGTCTGAATGTCAATAGAGGGGAACAAGTGGACATCAATTTCTCGCCCTCTGAGCTAGCACCTGATGAGAGCGCAGAAGATCCACTCGTCATCTCCCTAAGAACCAGGAAGTTCAAAGTCACAAGAGCGTTGGTGGATAATGGAAGCTCAGCAGACATACTGTTTTACTCCACGCTAAAAAGTATGAAGATGAGCATGCAGGATCTGAAACCCTCGACGACAAGCCTCGTGGGGTTCTCAGGATCAAAAATCAGAGTGCTAGGCATGATCGCCTTACAAGTAACAATTGGAGAGGGAGATGTGACGAAGACACGCACCATGGAATTTCACGTAGCAGATTGCCCGTCAGCATACAACGCAATTCTGGGATGCGGTTTCCTATCGCTGTTTTCCGCGGTCCCGTCAACGTGCCACCAGATGCTCAAATTCCCCGTAGGGGGAAGAGTAGGATGGGTTAAGGGAAACACGGAGCAAGCAAAGGAGTGTTACCAAGCAACGATAGAAAGCCTGGAGGTAGACTTGGTGGACACACGAGGAGGGCACCCCCGCCCGGAGGCGGTTGAAGGAGATGCGGAGGTAGTCCTTGATGACGAGGAACCTGAAAAGAAGGTGAGAATTTCTTCTCATCTAACAGAAGAGAAAGCTCGAGAGCTGTTGGCGCTCCTCAAAGAGTACAAAGACCTGTTCGCATGGACCTTGGAGGACATGCCAGGCGTTTCGAGAGAACTCGCCGAGCACCACCTCTCGGTGAAAAGCAAGTCGAAGCCCATCCAACAGAGGAGGCGAACAGCGTCCCTGGAAAAGCAAATGGCCTTGGAGGAAGAGGTGAGGTGGTTGTTAGAAGCTGGTTTCATTAGAGAAGTCAAGTATCCTACTTGGCTGTCGAACCCTGTTTTCGTCTGCCAGGCGTCCGGGCTATGGCGAATGTGCATAGCTTCACAAATCTGAATGCGGCCTGCCCGAAGGACGCTTATCCGTTGCCAAGAATAGATCAGCTAATCGACGCGACCGCCAATCATGAAAGCCTTAGCTTATTGGACATGTTCTCAGGATATCACCAAATCCGCTTGTCCGAAGAAGATCAGGAAAAGACAACTTTCATGACCCACATGGGAAACTTCTGCTACACGGTTATGCCGTTTGGCTTGAAGAACGCGGGGGCAACGTACCAGAGAATGATCGACGCAGTCTTCAAAAACCAGCTGGGAAGGAATGTGGAGGCATATGTCGATGATGTCTTGGTAAAGAGTAGGAAGGAAGCGGACCACCTGAAGGACTTGAAGGAAACTTTTGAGAGTATGAGAAAAGAGCGCCTACGGCTAAACCCGCTGAAGTGCGTGTTTGGAGCCAAGGCAGGGAAGTTCCTAGGGTTCATGATCACAAGCAGAGGCATAGAGGCTAACCCAAAGCAGATAGAAGTCATAACAAGCCTAAGATCGCCGCAAACAGTTAAAGAAATTCAAGCGTTCAACGGAAAAATGGCCGCTCTAAGTCGGTTCATCCCAAGGTAAGCAGACAAATGCTCTCCTTTCTTCCAAATGTTGAAGAAATCGGCATCCCGCTCACAGTGGAGCGCGGAATGTGATAAGGCCTTCTTTCAGCTGGTAGAGCAGCTGACTTCGCCCCCTGTCCTGAGCGCCCCACTACGGGATGAAACCCTGTATCTTTACCTGGCGGTCTCCGATCAAGCGGTCAGCTCGGTCTTGGTGTGAAGAGATTGCGATGGCTCGGACCGTCTAGTCTACTACGTAAGCAAGGCGCTCCTCCCAGCGGAAAGACGATACATGCCTATTGAAAGAGCAGTTTTAGCGTCCTTACTTTCAAGGGCACCAAGTTATTGTCTTGTCAAATTTACCACTGAAGAAGATTCTGAAGGGAATGGATGTGTCCGGCAGGATGACCAAATGGGCGGTCGAACTAAGCGATTATGATATTACATACGCTCCGCGGCCTTCCATCAAAGGACAGGTGCTCGCGGACTTTATCGCCGAGGGGTTCAGCCTAGAAAGTGCCGGGGAGAAGAAGGAAGCAGACGTGTGGCGTCTTTACGTCGATGGGGCAGCAGGAAAAGGAGGAGCGGGAGCGGGAATCGTCATCGAGACGCCGGCGGGAGTGATACACGAAATCTCCCACAGATTCCTAGAGTTAAAAACCAACAATGTGGCGGAGTATGAAGCGCTCCTCAGCAGGCTCAAGATTGTCATCAACATGGGCGCTTCACACCTACACATTTACTCTGACTCGCTGCTGGTAGTGAACCAAGTGCTGGAAAGCTACGAGGTGAAAGAGGAAGCCCTCGCAAAGTTGGCGGGGAAAGTCAAAGGAACTTTAGCTCAGTTAGATTCATGGAAGCTTGAGCATGTAAAGAGAGAAGATAATCATCATGCGGACGCCTTGTCAAAACTGGCGACCGCAATGGATTTTGAAGGGGAACGTCGAGTAACAGTGACGAAAGAAGCGGCCCAAGCATATGAAGTAATGGTCATCGGGGAAGGCGATCAGGATTGGCGGTCCCCATTGGTGGATTACCTACAGAACGATGTTGTCCCGGAGGATGCGGTCTCGGCTAAGGCACTCAAAAGAAAAGCGGCTCACTACACCATTGTAGAGGGGCAACTGTGCAAGAGATCTTTCTCAGGGACATATCTCAAGTGTCTAGGCCTAGAAGAAGCAAAATGGGTAGTCAAAGAAATACATCAAGGCACCTGCGCAACCCACTCAGGATCGCGGAGCCTTGAAAGAACAATATTGCTTCAAGAGTACTACTGGCCAACGGTAAAGAGGGATGCAATGGAGGCGGTCCAAAAGTGTCATGAGTGTCAGATTCATGCTAGCAAGCAGCATCTGCCAAGCGAACAGCTGAAGAGCATCATAGGACCATGGCCATTCGCACAATGGGGTCTAGATCTCTTGGGACCATTCCCCACAGCTCCTTTGGGGAAGAAGTATCTCGTGGTCGCGGTCGACTACTTCACAAAGTGGATCGAAGCAGAGCCGCTAGACACAATCACAAGTGCCAAAATCCAGAAATTCTTGTTCAACAACATAATGATCAGGTTTGGAACACCTCACACTATCATAACTGATCATGGCACGCAGTTTGATTGCAGACCATTTGAGAACTTCTGCGCTCGGAACCGCATC